TCACAGCAGCAAGTCAACAATGTTCTTAAGTCAGATTTCCTAAGCTGAATAAATCCCAAGCAGAGGGGAACACTGGGGACCTGGCAGCTTGACCACAGCTGACTGTAGCAAATAGCTTCCAGAGAAAAGCTCCATGCTGAAGTGACTCCCAGGTGAACTGTCCGGGGCCCACTGGCAGGAATTCAGTCATGGCTGATAAAGAGCAAAGAACGCAGCATGGCCCCTGAGTGGAGGGCTCAACTACAATGTGAACTTCACACCAGAAGTGAAAACAATGTAACCTAAACATTTGTACCCTCACATTAATCTACAATAAAAAATTTACAGGAAGTAGTCAAATACATGAAAAAAAAAGCAAGAATGGCCTTCTGTTTGTATAGATAAGGGGTCAGCAAATCATGTCCTGTGGGCCCCATATGGGCTGCCGCCTGCTTTTGTTTATAAAGTTTTACTGAAACACAGCCATGCTGGTTCACACTGTCTCTGGCTGTTTTGCACATGGCTGGGCTGAGCAGTTAAAACAGAGACCATAAAATCCACATAACAGGAAATATTTACTTTCTGGACTTTCATGGAAAAAGTCTTCTGATCCCAGTGTGGATGATGGAAATGTTTTTCTAGCAATCATGTAATTAATTTTGCATACTGTGGGGTGAGTTTGCATCCCAAGCTACTAATGACAATCCTTTTTTCATTTTTTGGAGAGGACAACCAGGTGGGCTTTGCTCAGTGGTGTACGTTCTGGGCAGGGGCTCGTGTGTTAGGGCTGGACACCACAGCCTCCTCTGAGCCCAGCTCTACTGGCTGTCTGTGACGCAGTGCTCCACCCTGTGGGGCTCTCCTGTGTCTCTGTGTAAGAAAGGGCATGAGCTCATCTAATGCACAGGATCCTGAGGACCCAGGGTCTCAGGCAGTAAGGTCTGTAACCTTGGGGACATTCACTTTGATTATCCCATCTGGTAAACAGCTCTTACTTGGGTATAATTTTTTGTTGGTATGGACAGAAAATGAGAAAATTATCTGACCTGATGTATGTGGTACCAATTAGGAAATCGCCTTCTTCCTTCCCTCCATGTACCGGGGCCTCGGCTGGGAGAGTCTCTCCTTTTGTCACGGCCACCTGGGGACAAATCAGAGAACCAGAGTATGTTACTCACCCTCAGAGGCTGAAGCCTTTGCTTCTCGTCACAGGAGACTGCAACTGGGTTGGGGCCCACTGCCTACGGCATGTCCTCTGCTGTCCTGGGCAGCACCGGCCCCTCTGCCTGCCGGTTAGTGGCCACCAACTCCCACACAGGGGGTGGGACAAAGGTGTCTTGATTCCCCTCATTTTGGCAAACAGTTCTTTTTCAACTGAGTGCTACTTTCGCAGTACAGAGCTGTTTTCAACTTCACCAGTGAATACCACATCAATCCTGTTAACCTCGGCTTTCATGGTAAAACACATGTAGCACAAAATTTATAATTTTAACCCCTTTCAAGAGACATTAAACATATCACATTGTTATAGAACCAGCATGACCATCTCTCGGCATGACTTCTTCATCTTCCCCAAACTGAAACTCTGTCCCCAAGAAACACTAACTCCCTTTTTGCCCCTCCTCCAGCCCCTAGCACCCACATTCTACTTTCTGTCTGTGATTCTGGCCACTCTAGGGACCATATATGAGTGGAGCCACTCAGTATTTGTCCTTTTGCGACTGGCTCCTCAAGGTCCATCCAGGTTGCAGGATGGATCCGAATTTCTCAGCACTAAGGCTGAGGGCTGTTCCACTGAATGCACAGATCACACTTTCTGTATCCTCTTGGCCGTCTGTGGACACTCAGGCTGCCCACCTATGGCTACAGTGGATGCAGTCTCAGCTCAGGGTGCCGGGCTGTGGACCTGATCAGCTTCCCCCCTGTGGGAGGGAAGACTGCACCCCTATCTCCTCTGCATGGTGCCTTTCCTGCAGACAGAAATTTAAAGGTGGGTTATAGATGAATTTTTTACATAGGAAAAAGCCACTGGGCACCTCTGCTTCAAGATGTATTTCTTTTTCTTTTCTTTTTTTTTAGAGACAGAGTCTCACTTTGTCACCCTTGGTAGAGTGTCATGGCATCATAGCTCACAGCAACCTCCAGCTCTTGGGCTTAGGTGATTCTCTTGCCTCAGCCTCCTGAGTAGCTGGGACCACAGCTGCCTACCACAATGCCTGGCTATTTTTT